CTTGTAGCTAAGGATGTCTTCAGTGCTCCTCCTACACCAGTTCCGTTAGACCAGAACACTTTATATCCTCTCATTTTGTGACTAATCCATCTTTATTCCATCTATGTTTGCTTGTGAGTCTGTATGTTTATGTGTCTGTTTTCTGTCGAAATTATCTCTATTTAAAACTTTTGTGTAAGCTCACAATTCTTGTCATTCATCAAGCACACCGAGTCTCTTGCATCACATTTGCATCTCATCTTCAAGAATTGCATAAGTATATTAATACAAAGATTAACAAAAGCAATGCTAGTTATAAACTTAATGCTGATCTCAAGAGACGGTTCAAAAAATTTGATATTGGAGATTTTGTAATGGTTCGGATTTGTCCGGTGCGGTTCCCACAAGGGACCGTTAAAAAGTTACATGCTAGAAGCGCTGGACCTTTCAAAATAACAGCAAAACTAAATAGTAATGCTTATGTGTTAGACCTTCCTGAAGGTTTTAACAGTAATCATTGTTTAACATAGAAGATCTTGTAGCCTTTGAGGGTCCAGAGTTTAACCCTCCTAATCCACTAAATAATGAGCCTTATATGAACCCACCTAGTGAGAACCCCAACCTACCTGATACCTCCACTCCCAAAAATTACCTATTTTACCCAATACAGAGAAGATTGAGGCAATACTTAGTGATGAAATCATTTCCACTAGAAACGGTGGTCAACAAAGGTATCTAATTCAATGGGCTGGGAAACCGGAGGCGGAGAACACATGGGTTGATCGTGACGAGCTGCAGCGATTGGACCCCGACTTACTAGAGTAGTATGAGAGCTCCAGAGATGATCACTCGACGGGGTTGAGTTTTCTCCCATATGTGAAGAATGATGAGGACATCAGTCAGAGATTTCGACATGTGTACCATCGGAGTAATCGAAGATCGATAGCTACGATTCAGAGCATATATTTTTGATTTATTTCCATGTATCGTTTTATTTGATATTATCAGTTTACTAGTTTACCCTTATGGGGTGTTGAGTCTTTGTTGTAGCCCATGGGGCATATGAGTCCTTTTGTTTTCTTTTGTTGAGACCTATATATAGTGGTCATTTACTTTGAATGATGATGATTATTGATATGAAAAATTCAGCTTTTGCTCATGATCTCTTTGTGAGTTCCCGATGAAAGGAGTAACCTAGGAGAGGCTCACACAGACTACCCAACAGCCCCCTTCGTGGGAGCTCTTGGTTCTTTTTTTTCTTCCCCTTTTCTCTTTTCTTCTAGCCGTCCCCACCTCCAAACCCGCCTACTTGCCACAGGACAACACACCCCGCGTCTTCCCTCCCCCCCCCCCCTTCACCCCGTATCCCCTTCCCTCACCTTCCCACAAATCCCTCCACCTCCCTTCCACCGGAGCCAACTCCAAAGCCTCCGGCTCCATTGGAGCCCCACCCACCGGCCAATCCAAGGCTAAGCCTTGGAGTTTGAATTTCAAATTCAAGTAAGCTTTCATTACTTTCCTAAATTAACTCCTTGTTATTTAGGAAGTTTCCTAATTGAATTCAATTTGAAATTTAAATTTCAAATACCTTCCTAAGTGATGAAACCAAATTAGGAAACCATTCATATCTAATCAAATATGAATTTAATTCATAATTTGATTTAATTAAATATTCAATCACTTGGGCCCCACTTATATTGAACCTAGACACAATTTTAAACCCCCATAGGGCCGGCCCCCTCCTCTCCCCTCTCTCTTTCCACTTTGCCACCTAAGCAACAATTAATCCCCTCCTAAATTCCCTAATAGCCGTCGGCCCCATTAACCACTTAATTGGGTTGATTTGAATTTAATTTGGCTCCGCCTCTCTAAAGAAAATCTGAAATTCAAAATTCAGATTTTTAATCTAACCTTTCCCCCCCACCACATGGCTTTAACCCAAAGGAAGCCCTAACCCTAGCCGCCCCTCACCCTCCTCAAGTCATCTTCCACCATCCTCTCCCCAACTCCTCACAAATCTCAAGAATGTTCTTCTCCAACCGCGACCATCGCTATGCATGGCCGATACGGAATTCGACCATGGCTTCTTATATGATGATCAAGGACGAACAAGTATTATCGGATCTTCTTTCTTTGACATAAATCCCGACGCAGACGATTCCGTGGAGAATTATATCTTACATAAGGATCACATTCTCTTACACTAGGGCCTTTTATCGAGGAGCGCCTTCTTGCTAGGCGTTGGATACTCACTAGTCAACTCATGGATTCCCCACCGCCGGCCACCTCTCCAACGACTTACACCTTGAGCGTCATTTGTCTTCTATTGGCATCGCTAAGCTTGTTCTCAATCTTCCCCCACTAAAGCATCTCCACCAAGTGTGTGAGTGAGGGACCCAAGGTGAGCAAATCTATTTGTTAAACTGTGGATTAGTGTTTCTTTGTCGTAACATTACTCTCTCTATTTTATGTTGTTAAATTGTAAGCATCTGTTAATCTAGTTGTAACTGCATGCCTTACATAATTTCTACTTGACAATTCTAAAAGCCTAATTTGGGAGAATAAGAAGTCTATAACTAGTAAAGCTTTAGTAATCAAATATTAACATCCCTAAGCAGTTCTTCTTTACTTGCATGGTTTCACATCAGTTAATTACTTTTATGCAGATTTTATTTATGCTAAGATGATACTATTTCATCTACTCTTGGTATCTAATTCCTCTACCTTAAAGCAGTGAATGAAGAACATCAACCTAATGCAGGCTATTATACCATTTCAGCCAGTTTTATGTTTCTTTGCAAGTATTGTGCTATTTGCATTAATTTGTATAAAAAGCCTCAGCTTACATTCTTTCTTTGTCATGTTTGTGTGCTTTCAATGGTTTGTTTATGTTACTGTAGCTGACAGGAAATTGCTTGTTGCTATAGATTATTTTCATGGCAGTCTATTATATTGATGTTTTTAGCTAGTTTCTAAAAATAAGGCTTCTAATTGACAATAAATAGAAGTTTTATTCTAGAAATTAAATTATCTTGATGATTACCATGATTCTGCTAAAAATATCATCAATCAATGCTACAAAGAGATTAAAGGATAGATCTCAAGAAATGGTTATGTTTAGTCAATTGTGATAAATGACATGGAACAAAAAAGCACATTTTGTAATAGTGAATTTGACTGACTTGATGCTGACAGGGTTAAGCTGCAAGAATGTATGAGTACATCGATATTAACCGTATTAGGACAACAATCTTGTAGTAATTCATTAAAAAATTCCATAAGAAGAATACTTTATCACCCTTGCATTGTAATTTGTGTTCACGTGTCTCTAAAATTGACAGAAGCTAATGTTAAGATAAAAAAGAACTTCAAAATAAAATAAAGGGTCATAAAGTATTCCTTACATAAAATTTTGTGAGGAGTTCCTTGTATGACGTTTGTCGCAGTTTAGGAGTTTCTGTATACTACTTCGTCATAAATTCTATAAGTAAAATCTTCGGTTTTGCCTCTGATAGAAATTAACTGTATCTGATTACTTCAATGTACTATGATATGTTTGGCTCACATTCATTCATGCTCCTCCTAAGAGTCAGTTGGACTGTAGGTGCAATGATTTATTTAATGAGTGGTCTAGGAGGATTAAATTAGCCAGTCCATCTATTTAGGCTGGCAAATGGAACTGTTAGGGCCCTCTAGGATTTTGACGAGCCTGTAATGGTTGGATGTTTATTTTAAATTTGATGATCTATCATCTCTTATCATTACAGATAGTTTAAAATAATCTCCTAATACTTAAGAATTAGGTTACACTAAGTTAAGTGTTGCAGAGATGAGGATGCTTAGGTGGATGAGTGGCTTGACCCTTAGAGATAGGATACGAAATGAGCATATACATAAAAAGGTTGGAGTAGCTCCAGTTGAAGATAAGATTAGAGAGAGTCTCCTTAGATGGTTTGGTCACATTAAACGGAGGCCTGTCAATGATCCGGTTAGGAAAGTTGAGGCATTAGATTTGATTTATGTTAAGAAAGGTAGAGGTAAACCTAAAAAGATTTGGTTAGAAAATATTAGAAATGATCTTTCATTATTAGATTTAAATGAGAATTTGACTTTTAAACGGACACAATGGCGAAAAAGGATTCATGTAGCCGACCCCACGTAGTGGAACAAAGGCCTGATGTTGTTGTTGTGATTGTTGTACTTAAGAATTAGGTTCCTTACCGTTATTAAGAAGATGGATAGCTATTTTTTAGGCGTTCTTATATTTTATATTTTGTATCTATTTATATCTATTATGAATGAAACAATAGTTGATTTTTCCAAGCATATATAATTTTTTTCTTTCATATATTTGTTGTGAACGCCACCCCTTCTCACTTTATTTTCCTTCTTTCGATTGATATAAAAAACAAACAGAGCTTGTTTCTAGCAATTGCAGGGATCTAAAAATTTGCTCGAGTCAAGAACACAAGGATGACAATAGTTTTTCGTAATTAACTTTTTCTTTCTTTTCAATCCAAATCTATGATGAGAAGAGGATAATGTGACAGGATAAAAAGGGAGGGAGGTATAATGTCTTAAATAAGCGAATTCAACAGTTATACAACATTCATTGTCAATCCTCGAAGAACATTATGACTTACTCCAACTGCACATAATCACAAGGCTAAAAAAACACTCATTCTCAATACATCACAGTTAAAGAGATCGACCTTAACACATCACCTACGTTTTTGAAGAAACAAGGACAATAAATTTCAATATCAGTTCTCGCTGTCGAACTCGATCAGAACATCTAAATTACAAAATAATGCAAATCAAAACAACTCCTACAACGTAATATCAAATAAATGAAACTGCAATAAATGGATAAAAACCAAAACTGATAGGTAATGTAAAACAGTAAAGTTTCCGGCCAAAAGAAGGAGGAGGATTCAGCCATGTCGGATCCAGAACAAAAAGCAGATCCTTTCAAAAGCGCCCAGAAGAGAGAAAGAAAAAGTAAGAGACCCAAACATTACAGCCACAATAAGAACCCAGGTGAACTGTGTGAAAAATCTCCAGAGAATTATAATCACTACAAAAGAAGTTCAATTGCATTCACAACTTTAGACGAGGGCTCTCAAACCGCACGTGAAGGGAGGACTTTCGGCGGCCAGCGGCAAGCTCACGCCCAGGTGGGTTCTCACGCGAGAGAGAGGACTTTCGGTTAGGACGGCAGGCCGGCGGCGAGCTCACGTGAAATTGGTTTCTGACGCGAGAGGGAAGACTGTCCGGACCGTGGCTGCTTGGTTCGCCTCTGGAACGCAAGAGGGGCGCCTTCTCGTATACAGGGAACAGGAATAAGAATAGTTGCAATATCTGCTGTTGGCTTTTCTGGAAGTGCCGCATGAACGGCTCAAAATTAATGAATCATATGCTATATTTAAATATTCCTAATTTATTTAAACTAATTAATGTATATGACTTGTTAGCAAATTTTGCCATGATTATACTAGGAGAGTGTGAAAGGACGAAGGGTTCTCTGCCCACACTAGGAGAGTGTGAAAGGACGGAAGGTTCTCTGCCAATATTGGGGATAAGTGTAAAAGGAAGACGGTTCTCTACCGCACCGGGTAGTGGTGGAAAGAGTTTTTGTAAAGGGTTCTCCGCCTTGCTGTGGGTGCTAAAGGAGAGTCACTAGTGGTATTAGTGCAATACTCGGAGGGTGCCTCCGGGGAGTGGATGTAGGTCTGGTTTAGACCGAACCACTATAAGTCCTATGTCTTTTAAATTTTTACTACTTTTTATTTTCAGCATTTTATTTAGTTCTAAAAATTGTGGTTGAAATTTTTTTTCTAAAAATTCATTAAAGTTTATTTTCAGTTCAACATATTCAAAAGGGATAATTTTTTAAAATACCAATTCACCCCCCTCTTGGATAGCCTTAGGACATAAGCTTAGGTTTAACAACCTAATTCATAGTGAATGAATTTCCACAAGTGGTATCAGAGCCTTGTTTCAAAATCATAAGGTTTAGACTACTTTTTGATTAACGTAGATGGTTACATTTAGAAACAGAAACACACCTGAGGGTTACTCTATTATTAGACCTCCATTGTTTGGCAATATACCTTTTGATTTTTATAAAACACGCATGTCTACTTTCTTACAGTCACTTAATTATCGTATGTGGATCTTAGTCCGGAAAGGATATATAAAACCAACTAGATTAGTTGATGGAGTTAGAGTTGAAACACCTTTTGCAAACTGGACAGTAAAAGAACGTGACTTAGCACAACTAAACGCCAAATGCTTGAATAATTTCTTTTATGCTTTAAAATCAGAAGACTACATATAGGTTTCCACTTGCAAAAGTGGAAAGGACATATGAGATAGACTTTGTATAACATATGAGGGGACTAATGAGGTTAAACAATCTAGACTCAATATATTATTGCATGATTATGAACTGTTTCGTATGAAACCAAATGAATCTATTTCTGATATGTACACAAGATTCACACAAATAATCACTTTTTGCATGCATTGGGTAGGGATTTAACAAATGCTGAAATGGTTAATAAGATT